GGCCTAAACCAGAGGTCCTACCTAGACCCCCCAAGTACCCTAAAATGGGGTCTATGTAGCTTCTATTTGGGGATACTTGGGGTCTATAGAGGGTACTTGGGGGGTCTAGGTAGACCTATTGACCATGGGCTCTAGGGTCCCATTTCGGGGTGGGTACTAAAAGGCCTGCATGACCCAACGTACCTGATACCTACCACCTTCATGTTCATCCTTTAATTATAAGCTGGCTTATAGTAGGGTATAGATTGGGGCTATAGGGATAATGGAAAAGAAAATGGAAACTATTATATTCTAGGGTATATATAGGTTTTTGTGAGCTTAAGCTTACTTAGGGCCAATCGGGAACCCGTAAGCAGTGTGCGTTATGTCTGGCCCAAACCTCAAAGACATACCCTAACACAGCCTAAACAGTAAATTCTTAAGGTTGTGGATCCCTATATATATATATATAACCCCACAACCCTAAACTCTGAATTCTGAAGGTTGTGGATCCTTACTCTTTGGCATCTTGCTGGTCTACCGCTGCTTCAGCTATGGGGCGCGTGTGGCTCCGGCAGACTCGCCGGACGACTGGGAGGAAGCACCACGGTTGAGATTCATGGTTTGGGGTTTAGGGTTTATGGTCTGGGGTTTGGGATTCAGGGTTTGGGGTTTTGGGGTTCAGGGTTTAGGCTTAGGTTCCGTGTTGCGTTTGAAGGCCATTTCATTTTCCGCTTTCATCCACATTAGATTGACCATTGCTGAAGTAGCATCCCTAAGCCTTAAACCCTAAACTCAAAGCCCTATATCATCTCCATATATCATCCCATCTTGGCCTCACTAAATTTCGCACAACACAGGATGATTGCAGCATCTTGACTTGTTTAGCCCCTGCCGAATCCTAAGATGATGCCCTCAAAACACAACGAGTATAATAGTGATGATAGTATTGATAGTAATGATAGTAAAAATAGTAATATGCATTTTGAACGCATGCAGCTCAAACCCTGTTGGCTCTAAGCCCTGACTCAAAAAGCCGACCCCTGATGTACTTTTGACTTTCGCGATTACAGAAGCTATGGTTTTCATCCAAATTTCAATAACTCATCTAGCGACTCTACAGCCTTCATTTCTATTCTCCAAGCCCTAGAGTCTAAACCCTGAACCCTAATCCTCCTCCTTAACCCCTAGACCCTACACCCTGAACTGTCCAACCTGAACCGTAAATCCTGAAATGATAGCTTCCATAAGCCACGCGGTTTAGGGTTTAGGGTTTAGGGTCTTCCATAAGCTATTGTCCTTACTTGAGAAACCCTAAACCCAAAACCCAAGAGGGGATCCCTAAGTTTTAGACGCCCTAACCCCGATAAACCCTTACATAATCCCACTTTCCAGTTCGCTTTCCATGTGCTTTTCCATTCGATTCTCCGTTGTTGGTGTATAGCCCTAACTTAAACCGAAATCCCAAAACCGTAAACCCTAATCCTTAAAAC